GTCTATAAAAATAGACGAAGATTTAAAATTATATGTAACTTATATTACCCCTATTATTCAGGTACATGTTCGAGACTTTGATGAGACAGAACAGTTTAGTAATGAACAATGAACATCTCAGATCACTGTCCTATAAACTTTGGCTGTTAAATAAAATTTTCTAACAACTAAGTGCTCTCTAGCATAGTTTAATAACATCCAGAATGATACATTCAACTTGTAGCACTGAGGAAGAATTATCACTACTGAGGGGCTAGGGTTTTAAAGTGATGTACACCAAAAATCCCAAAGTATGAGCTACAGCAGTGGTGGGCTGGCAAATTGTGGCCAAGATCCTTGTGTCTGTGAATGAAGCTTTACTGGAACAAAGCCACGCCCATGCACCAGTGTACTTACCATCTGTGGTGGCAAAGCTATGAGAGTGACTATGGTCTGCAAAGGCATAGATGATCCTTTAAGAAAAAAATCTGACTGCACTGATCTACAGGATTTTTTATACTACCCTTGCTTAAATCTAAAATGTCCTCCAAAAATGTCAGAAGAGGTGGGTCAAGAGGGGCATGACCTGAGAGGTTATATTCTACTCTCCAACTCTTCTCTTTCCTCTGCTTCCTGGCTGCCAGTAAGTGAGCAATTTTCTTCTGCCAGGCCCTTTCTGACTGGGAGGTGGCCTACCATGGACTGAATCCTCTAAAAACCAGGAGTCAAAATAAACCTTTCTCTTCTTCAAATCATGGATGTTGTATATTTTGTCCCAGCAATGGGAAAGTGACTAATTTTTTATACTAAAAAATTCCCAGTTAAGATTTTTAGGACAAAAAAAGAACCTTCATCAACTGAGATAATTCTAAATGACACATGATCACACTTCTGACTGTTGTCACTTTGATAAAAGTGGGCTTAAGTATGCTGGGCCTGACCTTTAAAGAGTGCTGCGCTGCTTGCTGCCATTTCTCTACCACGGAAACCTCTTTCACATATACTCCTCTGCCATGGTTGTTTCCTATGAAGCTTCTTGAGCTTGCATTTGTACCTATTTCACCTCTCTGTCCTTTCCCTTGTCTCCTCTTACCAGGTTTGTTAATATTTCTCTCACAATCTGGATGGGTCGATGGCATCAGTGGCTTTGATCACTTCTCTTCTACCCTATTATTTACCAGTTCTTTGGTTTTTAGCTTTATTTACATACTGATTTCTTACTTACAACTCACTTGCATCTTGCTTCTTCCTGAAACATGAAACTTACCACTCCATCCATTGCTCAGCGGTACTGGGTATCACTTTCCTTTGAGCTGCCTAGGATCAGCTCCTACAATATTTGGAAGTGTTTTCTTCTTTGACCCTACCCTGACTGATTTCTGTCTTTTAAGGATTCACTATAGTTTCTTGTCTAATGAAATCCTTCTCATGGTTCAAAGCAGATACTATTTCACTCCCTGGAAACATCTCTTCTGTCACTGGGGGCAAAAAAAGGGATAGCATGACATGTGTTCAGACTTCAGTCTTCAAGCAGAAGCCCTACATTTGTTGACTACATCCTTCTGATTTATCAGTTCAACAATTAATCAGGTAGCATGTTCTTTTTGCCTGCAGATACTGACAGGTTCCATTTCCTCTAACTACCCTGGCTAATTCTGAAAGCCAATCTCAAGTAGAACAACGTAGGTGTTGAATCATACATCTTGCAACAAATCTTAATTCCACTGTATTCTATTTGACTTGCAGGCAGTTAAATTTCTCCAAGACAAATAGTTTCCTTATCCATAAAAATGGAGATAATACTTAACATATTTGACTTCACAGTCAGTTGCAAGTGCTATATCAATTTGATTCCAAATATTCTAGCAATTTTTTTGTGATGCGCATTTTAGTTACTTTTCCCATTGTTGAGACAAAATATTTGACATCCAAAGTTGAAGAAGGAAAGGTTTATTTGGTTTACAGTATGTGGAAATTTCAGTCCAAACTTGGCTGGCTCCAAGGCAGGGTAGCCTGGCAGAGAAGCATTGCAGCGGAGACAGAGTCCATGGCAAGCCTTCTTTCTGTCCCTTATATTCTATGCTACCTGCCCTAGGGTGGGTGTAGCACTCACACTCTTAGTCCTAGCCAGAACTATGTCAAACCAATCTGTGGACTGATTTAGTAACCACACAGCTTTGATCCTAGCACCACACACTCTACATCCAGCCACCATTGAAAATCACCCCCTGACTGTATAAGGCTTTGAAGGGACATCTAGACACAAGCTGTAACACTTCCACTAGCTGTGATCATATTGCATTTCTAAACTGCAATTTATTATTCCCTTGTTTCCTATGCTAATTACATATTTGAAATGTCAATGATTTTGGAATCTATAGGATTCTACTTTTTAAAAGGCAGAACTAGACTTAATACACATACTGATTATAACTTTTAAAAGGTGCACCTAATAGCTCAAGTTTAGCAATTAATGATTTTTAAAAGAACACAATAGATTTCCAAAATAATTAAAGATCATGTGATAAGATCAAAGTGATTAATTTTGAAACCAGAATTATAATTTTCTATACTGCTTTCAAAAATTAAAAAAAAAAATCTTTTCATATAAAACAACAATTCTATCTGGCTATAACATCTGCCATCAACAGTCTTCTCTGAATGTCATTTATTTGGCTACAAAAACAAGGCTTTCAGAACCAAATAAAAGAATGATGAGTACAAGTAAAAGAGAAAATTTCTTAGAAGTTAGACAACTCAGTGATTTAGCAACACAGTACATACTGAAGAGTGACGTGTTAGGGCTTTATGTACACGCAAGTCAAGCTGGACTTTTAGGAGTTCTTTAATGTAGAAGATTTTGTAACAATAGAAACTCCAACCACAAGGGCTTAATGAGCTGAGGCACCACGTTTTGAGAATAAGGAATATTAAGAACAATGTTTCCCCCTATTTAGCACAATAACATTCTCATTTTGCTTTCCTAAGAGGAAAACGCCATCAGAAAGAAAAATTCTGATGTATAGCTACAGATACAGCATGCTTTGAGGCAGTTTGGTAAATATTCTGAAGATAACATGATCCCAGAGATTTTTATTTTCAGAGAACAAAACCACTGGTTGAGTAGAAAAGGTTAAGGGAAAGGATTTATTTATATCTTTCACTATACACTTCACTAGCAGATAAGCTGAGTCCAAGGGGATTAAATCAGAATAAGAACTGAGTCAAAAAACCAGAGCTTGGTTCATGTGGTTTAAGTCCATGGCCAACCTGTGACTCAACTCTTCAGTTCTCTCAGTCAGTATGGTCTCTTCATTGCTTAATTCTTGGTTAAAGTACTTGCAATACAGAGTCCTAATTCATGCAATATTGGAATTATATAAAATTGACAAAGCAAAAAAAAAAATCGGTATTTGTTGTCTGTTATAACATTTTGATATAATAAGCAAACATTTCTCCAGGGATGAAATTATCTATTAGTTTTCAAAGGTACTTTGTAATCTTTTCTTAAGTGTCAGGGAGGGACTCAGAGTTCCTGAAAATCTCTGTGCATACACACTATCACAGGTGCTGCACTCACTAGAGAAAGAAAATAATATTGCCATTTATTTTTGCTTCAGGAAACCTGCATCATTCATATTAGTATGGTATGTGGTACACTAAAACAGCTGCAGATATATTCCCAGAAGACAAAACAACAACAAATACAAATTTAAAACATCCAGTGTTTAACAAGAGTAGAAAAACCCCTAGTTTCAGAGGACTGTCTTTAGAGCTGTATCTTTAAAGAACTGTGAAGAAAGAGTTAAGAGATATGTGCTACTTGGCCAGGGATTTAGCTCAGTTGTGTCACATCTGCCTCATAAGTGCAAGGTCCTGAGTTCTATCCCCAGTCCCACAAAAAAAAAAAAAGAGAGAGAGAGAGAGAGAGAGAGAGAGCTATGTGCTACTTCTTTTCAAACTTCATACCTTACTGAAGCTCAACCTATGAAGCACAAAATTCTTTTCAGTCAGTTGTAATAAAAGCTACTATTTATTGAGTGCTTATTATGTGTCAGGCATTCTGATAAAAGTACTTTATTTACATTAATTTTTGTGGTACTAGAGACTGAACAAAGGACAAGACTTCACACTAAGCTAAATCCCCAGTGTTCCTCCTTCTTTTGAAATTTGAGATAGGAACTATGTTACTTAGGTGGGACTTGAACTTTTGATCCTCCTGCCTCAGCCTCTCAAGTGCTGGGATTACAGGCCTGTCCCACCACATCCAGTTAATTTACATTTTTCCTTGCTGCTTTTATCAGGCCTTATTATTCTAAGATGTCAAATGAAAACATTATAAATAGCACTTTCTATAGAATGGTTATGAAATGGCAATGTTAGGATTAATACTAGTCCCTTACTTTATAAAGATTTCTTGCCTTCCAACATTTAACAAAGCCAGAGTGGCTGCTACTACTGTAAGTGGCTGACTCCCGAAGCTAGATTCTGAACTCCATTTAAGAGTTTATATATAACAGCAAGGACAAAAAAACAAGAAACTTCAAATTTACTACTATTTCAACCACATTAAGAAACTAGCTGACTTAGCCATTAGTTACAGTAAAATATCTACCATCTTGCTTAGTGTGGACCATTAAAAAATGGAGTTTCCAAATTTCAAGCCAGTGCTACTCTCAAGAGTGTGCCTGTGGCCTGGTGCCATGTTGCAGACTGTTTCTCAGCTGTGACATTTTCTGCTTTACTACATACAGTGCTCCCTTCACCTAACATTTATTTATTTATCTTTCCAAAACAAGATTTTCTTGATGGAAAAAGAGTGGCTCAAGCTCCTGGATCCATCATGGAATGGCAAGTCTATGAATCAGTTACTTTGAGTAACACTGTTCTAGGGCTCACTTTTGGATATTGCCTCAAAGTTTTCTGTCTCTGCAGCCATGAAAGATTTATATAAATTCAGAATTAAATATTTAGTTATACAGTAATGGGAAACACAACATGAATAATGATAACGGCCTCACCTTTGACAGAAGCAACTTCACACAGGAAACATGGCCCTCATACACAGCAGACAGAAGTGGGGTAATGTGGTGTTTATCTGGAGCCTGTGGAATAATGAACAACAAACTTAGCCATGTTCATTTCTTTCTTATTTCTAGATATAATTAGGGATTGTCTGAGAATATTTTAAAACTAATGAATACTATTTGCCTTTTTGGTACAGTATATAGAATCTCTCCTCAGAGGTAGTTTTTAGTTATTGGAGAGTTGTTACCAAAGAACTCTGGGAGCCAGTGCAGTGGAGGGAGCAGGGCTCTGACCCTAGCTCAAACCCTGGATCTGCCACTTACTTTGTGACGTTATTCAGCCCCTCTGAGCCTAAGTTTGATACTATCATAGAAATGCCATGTGGCACAGGAAGGGAAGGAGGGGTAGGACACAGCCAATGAGAAGGTAAAGGAAGACTTAAAACAATTGGGCCAGGTGACATGGTATTTCCAGAAATGCAAAAGCTCATCTATCCTGCTGTTATGGTCACTTAAACAATCTTCTAAAACTCTGAAATGCATGAGTTACACAAGGCTGGAGTCAGGAGATGACTGTTCACACCTGACCACTGTCCTAAGTCCAGTTTGGATGTAGCCTATGACTTTGAGGATTCCTAGACTCCTTTACCTGACAGTATCTGCTAGCTATACAAAGTGTCAACACCCCAAAGTGCAGAACTCAAAAAACAGTAGCCATAGGGAGACACGTAACCCTCAGTTTATCAGCTTTAAAATGTCAGGTTTGTTTGGTTTACTTTTAAAAATCCCAACTATGTGTATTTAAGTTACAGGAAATTTGGTGTAATTTTGGACTTGTATACAGGTAACCATTTCAAATATCTATAGAAACAAATTATACAAGTTTCTTCTAGAATAACATACATTATACGTGTCATTACATATTAATATATGTTCTCTACGTACATTAATATCTGCTCCTTTCAGCAGCAGGAATTCCAGGATTTCGAGCTGTCCACAATCTGCTGCATAGTGAAGAGGCTTCCTTCCCCCTTCCAGTGTCCGGTTGACATCTTCTCCCTTATAAAAGAGACCAGAGGAAAACAATGTTTACACTGATGGAAGGCAGAGAAGGGAAATGAGGCCTCTTGACATTTTTCCTTTCTTAAAGCTTAAGAGGTTCATGAAATAATAATGTTTCGTGAGAAGTGAAATAAAAACCTGAAATCCTGCATATAACCTGTAAGTTATATATGTATGTGCATAGTATATATATTTCAACAATATAAAAATAAAAAACAGGAATATAAAAAATAAAACAAGTCCCTATAGAAAAAAAAAAAAAATCCAACCAGAAGCTACTGTCTATCTGAGATACCTCTAAACTGAATGACATGAGAAAACACAGAGACAAAAATATATTAGTCATATATCATACATTAGTGAAAAACTAATAAGAGTAATAATATATAAGACAGAATTAGAAAGGTATTAATTTGAACTCATTCTCTAATCCCAGTACAATAAAACAAAATACCAAAAGCTTTAGCATAAACCTAAGAGGAAAAAATCATGAGAATAAAAATAACACACGTAACACAATCAACAAACATGCAACACACATGCAACAAATCAACACTAAAAATGCTAAGCTGATAGAGAAGAGCAATTTGATACTACAGTGTCAGGCTATTTTGAAAATAAAGTTTATTTATTATATTAAAGGTATATATTTATATAGTAAAGGTATATATATATGGAGGAGAGGTAGGGACGGGGGAGCAGAACTGAAAAACCTTTGTGACATGGTTAATTAACTTAATATGAAATTACATGGTTTTTAAGACTGCCACAGTTCAGTAGATTCTTATTTTTTCAATTTTTGCTTCCCCTATTGATTTAAATATGGCTATAAACAGACTTACAAATAAGTGGTATAGTTTCAGTAGCAGATTTCCTCTTTAACTCTAAAATCTTTTACATGCTGCTCGGAAGTGCAGCTCGGTGAGGATGATTTACTAGATTCAGTACTTCTTACAGGCCTGCACTACACCGGATTAGATTTATTTGATAATAAACGTTCAGATGGAAAGCACTCTTCATAGTTTTTCTAAATGAAATGGCCACCTCACTCTGAGAACTTTTTTTCCAGGTCTTTCAAGATGAAAAGAAACAAATTTTCTTTGACCTCCAACATATGTGCTTCTATGCAAGTGAGTTTTAAGGCATAAGTACATACAGTACTCTCATAAGACAGCAAATGTCTCTCAATGCTACTACCAGTAGATTAGCACGTGTGACCATTTTGTAGTACAGTATAAAAATTACTATAGGACCCCTGATAGTAGGAAGCAGCAAAAGTATTAAATTTATCAAATTCTATATAGTTGAGCCAATGTTTCCTTGTTCTGTTACAGTTAAGTATGACCTATTCTTGCTTAGAATTCAGAATTCTTCAAGACTATAAAACTAACTATATAACAAAGCAGAGAAGGGTCTGAGAAGTCTAACAGCAACATGCCACCCATTCTACATATTTTCTAAAGTTAACAGATGTGTCACACAAAGTATATCAAATCTCCAATGTTAGAAACTCAGTTTTAAGGAAGAACAACTCCCATAACTTACTGTTTAATATAATAATGTATCTTCTTGAAATATTTTAAGTATGTTTTGAGGAAGTTTATTAGCAGTTAAAAATCCATATAAGGTTTACCCTGAGGAGAGTGATCATTTACAATATAACAAGTTCCCCCTCTCAGACATGTTTCTGGGGTGGGTATTTTCCCTGACAAATTACTACAAAGCACAGTAAAGGCTGAGTGAGAATCCTACAAAAATAAACTGCCCACAGTAACAAAACATAAGGACCTAGCTAAAGGGTGGAAACTACAAAAGAAAGTGAGGTCCTGTATTAACAACTGCACAAATAACTAGTGTTTAGAGTTATCTGTACTTCAAAAAGGTCTGAAAACATATTCAAATTATATGTTCACTTAAGTTACTGGTCATCAGTACCACACAGAACACTTTCTTGAGATTGCTTTGCTGTTCCATTAGAACGACAACTTGAATATAAAAAGTAATCTTTTCATATCTTGTATTACTAACAGAACCATTATTTCACTATTTTCTGGTACCATCTATCAGAAAAATCTAGGGGACCGTGTAGTCATGCCCTCCCTGTGGGCGCCGCCATTGCTGCTCCAATGCCAGAAGGGTGAGATTTGGGACATCAGATGTCCCTCAGGCCTGCCTGGGCCCAGTCACTGGGACCAGGTAGTCACACCCTCCCCTGCGGGCACAGCCACTGCTGCTATAGCACCAGGAGGGTAGCCATGCTGCTGAGCAACCCCCCACCCTGCTCTCAGACCTCCTGATTGTGCCAGTCCTTGGACCCACTCTGCAGAGGCATAGCTGGTTATAAAGGGTAATTTTCTGAGCTCCCAAATTTGAACATCTTTAAAGAAAGGGTGGGGGAAACTTGTAGTAGAACTGTCTGGAGTTCAACGCTGCAGGAGTTCAGGGAGCACAATTTGGGTCTTGCAGCCTGAGGTCAGTCTGTGAGCTGGGGGTCTGCCATTGGCTAGCTGAGATAGGGGGATTTGGTTCTGCACATGGCTGCACATGATGTGTATTATGACAGCACAGATATAGTCTGAAAGAGGCCCTTCAAAATCATTTTTTTTGTCTTTTTCTTTCTTTTCCTCTTTCCACTCTGTAAATTCTTTTTTCTATCCTCTTTCACCAACTCAGTCTCTTGCTCCACCATATTATTCCTCATCTCCCTTTCTGTTCCTGCTCCTGCCCTGACTCAGATTTCTTCTTTTATTATTTTTTCTTTTTTCTTAATGTTCTTTTTTTCTATCATTGTGCCTCACTCAAGGGTCAGTAGTTTCAAGGGAAAGTGAGCCCCTACTGCTGTTAAGGGGATGATTCTTGTCCTTATACTTGCACTCTGTCTATCCCTTTTGAGTTTAACAGTTTCCTAAAGATTGTGTGGTCATTCTGTGTCCTCTGGCTTCACTTGAAATATTCTCCAGTTCTTTTACTTATCTACTCTTCTCTTCCTAACTCTGTCTGGGCCACCACCCTAAATGGTAAATATGCTATGTTGAGGAGTTTATTCACTGCAAACATATTTTGGGCTGCTTCTTGATTTTAATTTATTTCACATGGTTTAAAGGTGATAAGATTAATGACTACCACAAGTGGTCAATTTGCACATTGTGACTGATCCTATAGTGTTGCTGATTGTATTGATTGGGATAAAGGATAGGGATTGATTTGATGAGTTGTTTTCTCTGATATTGTGAAAATGAGAATGTCTATGAGTCATTAGAGAATCAAAAGCTAAAACACAACTATATCAGGAAGATTTAATAACTCAGAGATTGAATCAAGGACAACCCAACAGCAAAAATAAAAATGAGAAAACATTTAAGCAAGACACAAAGACAGACATCCAGTACACCAATGGCAAAGAGTAGGGCAAATGAGGATAGTGAACTACAAGGACACTCTGAACTCACAGCACAGGAAGTAACAAAACAGATCAATCAGGCTCTAGAAAAATTCAAAACAGAAACAATTTCCCAGATAACCACAGAGATGGTGAGCAAAATGAAAGTCATGATTCGAGACTCTAGAACAGAAAATGACAAAAAAAAAAAAAAAAAGATGAGCTCAGGACCGTGATAGAAGCCATGAAGCCCAGCATAAGAAAGAAACGGAAACAATGAATGCCCAACATAGGAAAGAAATGGAATCCATAAAACAGATTCAAACAGATATCGAGATTAAAAACTCGATTAAAAGTGTACACAACAGAATAAAAAAATGCGAAGATAGAATCTCAGATATAGAAGACAGGATTGCTTGCAGTCAGTGACTGCGAAAAGAGAAGTCTCTTAAAAACAGTAAGGGATCATTGATCCAACAACTCCTTGATGATGCAAAGAAGAATAACATAAGACTGATAGGAATCCATGAAGTAGCAGGAGAAAATGCAAACGACTTAAAAAAGCTGTTCACAGAATTAATGACAGAAAACCTCCCAAACAGAGGGGAAGAATTTGACATACAGATAAGTGAGGCATATAGGACTCCAACTAGCCACAATAAAAAAAAAATCTAGAGCTAGAAATATAATAAAATAATCAAGATCCCAGAAACCCAACAGAAGAACAAAATACAAGCGGTAAGACAAAAGAAACAAATCACATGCAAAGGAAAGCCCATCAGAATCACAGGAGAATTTTCAACACAAGCCCTCAGGTCAAGGAGAGCCTGGAGTGAAGCATTTCAAGCCCTAAAAGAAAACAACCTCCAACCTAGACTGATGTATCCTGCAAGACTATCTTTCAAAATGGATGGGGAAATAAGATACCTCCATGACAGAGAACACCTGAGAAGCTTCATGAACACAAAACCAAACCAGTACTACAAGGAATTCTAAACAATATCCTAGAAAAAGACAATGAAGATCACAAAACCATGAGGCCCAAGAGAGCAAACCCGATAGTCAAGGCAAAAAAGTAAAAGGAGAGGGCAAAAAATTAAAAAGAGTCAACAAAAGGACAATAACATGACAATAGTCAGTCAGTACATCAGTTATAACTATTAATTTCAATGGCCTCAATACACCAATCAAGAGAAATAAGACTGGCAGAATGGATTAAGAAGCAAAATCCAACAATATGCCGTATACAAGAAACACACCTAGTTGGGCGTGATGGCACATGCCTGTAATCCCAGCACTCAGGAGGCTGAGGCAGGAGGATCGCTTTGAGTTCAAGACCAGCCTGGGTTACATAGTGAGTTCCAGATCAGTCTCAACTACATAGTAAGATCCTGTCTCAAAAAACCAAAAACACCAAAACCAAACCAAACCAAACATACCGAGTGCAAAAAGAAGACCATAGACTGAAAGTGAAAGGGTTGAAAACAATTCTCCATGCGACAGGAACCCAGAAAAAAGCAGGGGTAGCAATATTATTCACATACAAAGTAAATTTCAAACCAAAACTCATTAAGAGAGACGAAGAAGGCCACTACATCCTTGTAAAGGGAACAATTCA